TCTGCTTCTTTTATTAGTTTTGGATACAAGCTACAGTTGCTGGCTTTGCCTTTGGGGTTTGCAAGGGTTGCACCAGCAGAATTGTATTCTTTAGTAACATAGTGTGAAAAGTTTTGGTCTCCCACAAAAAAGTTCATTGCGATCCTTCTTTACATGCATGATCTTTGATTTCTGACGATGTAAGATCAAATTGAGCTGCAAGTGTGCTCCCGCTCTGCCTTTCATGCTGCTTCAATATCGCACCGTGAAAAAACAAAGAAGGCAAAGACTGAGGGAAATCTGAAGCGTTCTGCCACTCAACATCCCCCTTTCCCAAACAACAGCGTCTCACTGCCACTACAAATACATTAGAAATCAATTATTTATGGAACAGAGTCAGGGCCTCTTTAATCTTTTCCTTTTATCCAATTAAATTGTCTAACCATTCTAAGCCTCTGTAGCTCACAGGGAATGTGCTTCTTTAAAAAAAGAAAAGATTTTCTCTTCAGTCCTCCTTTTGACTTTCGATGTAACAGAGAAGAGACACTTCTGAGGGTTGAAGAATGAAAGGAAAGAAAGTGAGTAAAGTGTAAATGAACTCCCCCCCGTCACCATTGCATTGGTTCTACAGGAACTATTTGAAGTTTTGATATTAAGACTCTGGTTCCATTCCCTGCGCAAAGGGACACTGGGGAGCGATGAGGCCTTTCATGATTCCTTTTGCCCAGCTGAAATAGTTGGAAAGTATTTGGAATCATCTCCACTGAGATAAATACGATGTTGCTTTAGTTGCTGTCCTGTATTATTCAAGAAGTCAACGGATGTAGTGTCTAAAAATTGAAAATGTTTTTATTTCCAATGTAGATGTGTGAAATTATTGATGTGAAGCAGTGTAAAATACTCTGCGCTTTGATTATCATACAGTGGGACGGTTAAGAAAAAACTGTTAGACTCACTGACAAGCACTTTTTACACTTGGCTGAAAACAAGTATGCTTTAGTGCTAAAACAAAAGATACACAACAAATCTTTGTGTTGATTGATTGACTAGCAGTTTGACATCTTAGGTGTCATGGAAATTGTGGAGGGAATCTTTCACTGTTTTCTGACATTTTAAATCCAAAACAGTAATTCGGATAGTCAAAAAATAGACTGACTCACTAATAATGAAATTAGAGCTGAAACAACTAAAATCATTATGACTGTAAACAACAAACATGCAAAAATACTTCAGAGTTTAAAGCACTCTGAAGAAGGTACACTAGTGCCAAATTGTCAGCTCATGGAAGTCTGCACTGCGTAGCCATCAAAGGTCTCCTGCTTCCCTGCAGGCATTTTTGCTCGTTTGCCGTTTACAATATTATGTCTTTTGCAGTTGAGCAAACTTCCCTGCAGGTTTGAGAGGGTTAAAAAACAACCTTCATAAGGATCAACATTGTGGCAGGGCAGTTGTATCAGATTGAATTAGATTGCAAGGGTGTACCTAATAATGTGGACACTGAGTTTTTAATCTGTCACATCTAATCAGGAATCCTAAAACATTCTACACCCAATACATTCAACTTTGCCCACCCAGATGCTACCGTAATTACTACAGTGTACTACATATCGTTTCACTTTGTGCTGTGGGATGTAGCAGGGAAATGTTTTACTCTTTTCTCTCATTTTAAAGACCACGCACAAGTTCAACAGATTGAATTTTGGCCACACAGCCATTATAGTCAGAATAACTCTGAATCCCCATTTGGAGTTCATCATCCAGAATAACGAAGTAATTATTTCTTTAGTTACTTTTTGTCTTTTTTTTTTTTTTATTTAATGACTGAAATAAATAAACCAATCAACCGGTCCTTCAACAACACTTGACATTAGCTCTGCTGAGAGCTGAAACAAAGGCAGGGGAATATTTTTTGCCGCTCATTTTTGGCACTAAACAAATGTGTGTTTTCTTATTTGCGGCAGAGGGAGCTGCGGCTGATAGGTCAGGAGAAAGCAGGTTTAACGTTTGCAGCACTGCTGTCAGTGTGGCAGCGGTTATTCATTTGTCATCGGTGTTGAGAAAACATTTGAAAACATCTCCCTTCTTGGGATGCTAGAGGAGAATGTGAGGGGCTTTTACAGACTTTCAGGTCACACCGTTCTTCAACTACTGAACAAGATGAAAGAGGGTTTGGCTGACAGGATGCTACATGATTGCAGCTCTGAAATATGTTTGTTGGTCTCAACCAAAAAGCCAAAAATAAAGTTCAGTGGCAATAAACTTTATTCTACTCTTCATCTCGGTCCACATGTGCTCAGTGCAGGCAGCAGGTCCTTATAAGTGGAAGTACATTCAAATGAACACTGCTGTGGCTGTGCTCATTTACATCATTATTGTTGGCAAATATGCCCCTAACTTGAAAATTTGCAGTGACTTAATATTTGCGTGCTTGACGGTAATTTGCGACAGATTCAGTAAACATCCCCCGTAGTGTCATCTCTAATGTGACTGACATACAATGGTGTGTTTTAATGATGTAGCCTTAGTGCGTTTAGACCCTTATTATTCATTAGACCTTTGCTTTTTGTTCCTAAATATTATTCAGAATGTAAAGTCTGCAGCAGTTTCAGTTGAACAAGTGCACAGCCTCAGGTCTGCTGCTCTGTCACATGCTCATGTGTATACATATATGAATGCATATGATGCACATGTCTGTCTCTGTATATACTCTCATCTACATGCGTGGCATGTCAGTTTTTTTTTTCATTGTGTGTGTGTCTTGGGGAAAGAGGGTGTACACTATGTGTGTGTAGTTGCGTACCTATGGGCCCTCGCGATCACAGACTGCCAAAAGGAAAAGGATTTCCGAGAGGTTTCCTTCTCGCTATTTAAAGTGGGAGTCCTGTGGGACATGTTTGGCATTCTCATCCAATCGCTGAAGATGGCCTGTGATCTGAAGCCACTCTCTGAAGTGATTACCCTGCTTGTGATTCCGCTGACACCCACATGTCCCCCTGAGACGTGCCTTCACTAGTTTGTTTAATCTGCCTCCCTGTACAGTAGGTAACGCAGCCATAATTGAGGTGTGGAAAGAGCTGTGGGAGCAGATGAAACCGATAACAGGTTTGGCGAAAACTTGCGCTATAAGTCCTCGTTGATCACCGCGGTTGCTAAATCGACATCCAAAAGGTCTGTGGTGATAAAAGTCTTAAAAGTTAATTGTCTTCAACAGCAATCTAGAAATTGTTTCTTTCTTAATAAACTATCATTTAAAAAGGCACAAATATCAGTGTTTCATAAGCATTTCAAAATGTTGCTGGAAAAGTTGAGAATCCAGTCATTCTTTAAGCAACTTTTGTCAATTTCCAAGTGCTGCTGCTGATCAGATAATGAGTTATCGAAGATTAGAATACCATTAACAAGCCTCACAGTTAAGGAGATATTTGATCTCAACAACATATGACTTCCAAAAGTTGTGCTGATACCTGAGACAGATTCCGCTTTACACTCTGTTTGAATTTTTGATATGAAAACAGCAAGTGTGAAAATGCAAGCATCAGATACTCTATCTCCCCCGGTTAGTGCCTCGCCTCTGTCTGTAACACGCTTGAACTGCTCTGTTCAGAACAGACTGAGTGTCAATCACTGCCCGAAATCAGCCTTTAGATGAAGCAAAAAATGAAAAAGGAACAAAAATGATCCATAGAACTGAACTTGAATTAATTAAATGTACTGTATCATACTTCCTTAGAGAGATTGCATCTGTCCTCAGATGTGTAAAAAATAAAACATTCTCAGATATCTTTCTAAACCCTATTATTGTAAGATACCAGTAATTAAATTGACAGTGTTATTAATTGGGTTGAAGATAACTTGCATTGAGTCGAGGACATCTTAAACTCAATTAAAGATATCTCCAACTCATTTAAAGATATCCAAATGCCATGTCCCACAGTACGCAATCAGGCTCGTTTTTGGCGCAATAATATCAGTTCACTTGTGCTCCTTTTACAAAGACTTAGTTGTACTTCTGAAGTTTTCTTTTTATCATTTAAAGCTTGACTTTTTGAAATAGATGTCACACTTTGGTGATGTATATAGTTTTTTTAATGTGGCATAATTATAGTATTTAATCCTTGCTTATCCAGTGTTTGAAATAGAAATGAAGATTAGGCACTTATGACATCGGGAAAGGAAGCACTTAAAGGGACAGCTGAACATTTTTGGAACCAGGTAGTCGGAGTTGATGCATGGGCAACAACTTCATGAATGGACCCAAAGGCTGAACCCAGTGATGCGGCAGCCTGTCACACAGAAATAAACGGCTGTAAAAGGAGCCAGGTAACAAAACATGTTAAACACTCAAGATAGCACTGAAAAATAAATGATCACCATCCGAAACAGAATGTAACCTTTTTATCCGACTGTGTTTCTGATGCATTTATTGCCTAAATAATGAATGAATCAACAGAAAGTTAATCAGTTACACATGGGTCATTTATGAAACATGAAAGGTTAAGCTTTTCTTTATTTACTTGTAAATTGAAAAACTTTGGGTTTTGCGCTGTTTGTTGTACAAAGCACGCATTTTGAAGATGTCACCTTGGGCTCGGAAAACATTTTCTGCAAGTTTTTGACATGTTCGGCTGAGCAAAACACTGAGCGTTGAAGTAGAGCTGCAAAACAGAAAGAGACTGGAAGTATTTATCCATCCTCTGAACCCCCGTTACAAATGTTTGTTTTCAGTGATGGCCTCAATGCAGAAATAATACAGAAACTGTATACATAAACATATGTCCTTCTCATCAGGTTAAGCTGTTTAAAATCACAGAGCGTCTGTCAGTGCATGGAAATAGTCACACTATACAGGTCTTCTTCACAATAATATACATGATGGGCTCATTTGTTTTGACCTGTGCAGTATTTCCAGTGAGTGGAATATGACTGTTGGCGTATTGATAAATACAATGCGATTTTAAATAGCTCTGGATTTACAGTGTAGTGAATCTGGGTTCAGCGTCCCCTCCTCTTCTTCTCCTCAGGACGCTGTGCCAACTGTGGAGAGAACGTAGTGGGTGAAGGCACCGGCTGCACTGCCATGGACCAGGTCTTCCATGTTGACTGCTTTATCTGCATGACCTGCGGCACCAAGCTGCGTGGCAAGCCCTTCTATGCTGTAGAAAAGAAGGCCTACTGCGAGCCTTGCTACATTGTAAGTAACTTCTGCCTCCTCAAACCACCTGCCATTACACCTGTTTTTAGCCTTGTGCCTGGAATGTTCTGTATTTCCACATTTAATTTCATCAAAGCTGCAGCCTGACACCACACACATCCACATCTCCTTTTGTCTTTGGCTTTGGTTTCTTTTTGGTCATTCGGTGTTTGTGATTTCAAAGTACAGCAGTTTCTTCCAGTTACATAACTTTAAATGACAGGTAGGAGTACACAAGACATGGGAACACCAGGTGGAAATTATGTAAGCCTCAAGCTTGGTCTTGTTGCGTATTCAGTGTTATGTGTCTGATATTAAAATGTTATGTTTTTGAACTTGAACTTTTGAACTTTGATCTTAGCAGAATAGAAATACTCTTAGCTCTTTAATGATAAGTGCAAGCCAGTCATCTAACAGCTAGCCGCTGCTGTCGTTACTGATTTTAAAGTTGCACTTTTTGGTTTTTTTATATTGACAATGGACCAAATTTTTATGGTTAGCTCATTGTTTTAGTTTTACAACCTGAAACTTTAATGTCACTATCAACATAACTTCCAGCAGCAGCAAGATGTTTTACCTGAAAATGGTGAAACTAGCTGTACGTAACTGCCTTTGGGCACTGACTGGTTAGTGGAGCATTTAGCAGCTAGAGAGTCAGGTGTTTTTGGAGACAAAAAAAAAAAAAATCAATGAATGCAGGTTTAAGGTAACTTGAAACATTTTTTTTTTTTTTTTAAAGAACAAGATTATAGTTATTCACATGTTGATACTAAACCAGCTAATTAATTAACATATCTTCAGATTATCTTCAGCAAATATGCAAACATGGGCTACCTATTTCTAACTTTTTGTAGCCCTCAACTAATATATTTGTCATTTGTTCTCCATGAAGAATGATATCACAGGTGCATTTGTTTTTTATAATAGTTCAGACATTTCTTCCATGCTGAATTAAATGATTAGAAGAACATTGTTCTACTAGCTATCTGGAGGTACAGCTGATCAGCAGTCAGATACGGTTTAAATGCACTGAAGTTATTAAATGAGTGTTAAATCGCATTTGATATAACATGGCTTTAATTTATTTTGTGGATAAGGAGATTACAGAAATGCAGGAGGTTTTCTTGTCTGTTTTCTCCTTTTTACTTTCAGTATACATAACTATTGTGGTTAAAGGTTGACCAAACAGAAGAAATGATCATCAGTGAGCCAACACAGAAGGTTTATTTATTTTTTTTTTTGAGTGGTTTTATCTCTTTGTAAACCTGTGACCGGTATCTGTCACAGTGTTGCACAATGCACATGAAAATATTTTTTTGCACAATATTGTCAGGAAAGACTTTTTGCGGAACCACAAGGAAATCATTTTGCAGAAGTGTTTCCCCCTATTCAGTTTCATTGGAATATGGTTTTGTCATCAGTCCCACTGCTGGAAATGACAGGGTCACAGTTTCTTATTGTCAGCAATACCTTTGGTAAATTCATAGTTCATTCCTGGAGGCTGAGACAGGAAGTAGCTGTGCTGTTTAATCAGCCATCACATTGGAAGTGTTGGGTAATAGCTTTTAATTTTCAATATTGTTTTGACTGTGAAATAAGTTCTTTGGATTGTTGGATTGAAATTGTACAGACTTGGACAAGGTGAGAAAATGTTTTAACTAAGACCCAGGATGCAAAAATCAAGATTTTATTTTTTTGCAATCTTTGATCTACACCTGCAGTTTGTATAAATAAGACACTGGGTTTTTTTATAGTCTTCCTCGGACTGACAGGAGTCGTACTAAAACAAATGTCAGGCAATTATTTGATACGAAACACCAACAGTTTGTTTCCTGGTTGTAGATAAGAAGCTTAAAACCTGATAATTGGGGCTTTGAAGCGTGTACCTGTGCAGGTCACTAGCTAATGATGGTCTTTGTTGTTAGCGGATGAGGAATGAAGCACCTGACCATCTTAAAAATGATCCCTGAGGTATAAATGCTTTTTAGAAAAAAAAATCTAGGAATGAGATTATTTGTCCCAAAAGGATGAATTATAAGGCACACTGCACATATTAAAGTATTTGAAGTTCCTATACATCAATTGCAGGAAATGGCTTGATATACACCATTAAAGTCTTAAAACTGAGCTACATGATGTTCAGAGCAGTGGCAGCCCATCTCCTAAATCAGCCCTTTTCAGAAGCACTCACTATGATTGTACTGTAGTTGTCTCATCTGGAAGTTCTCCAACACTGATACATTCACTAAAAAGGAACGGGATAATTTAAGAACTTTATTTATGCATTTCATCAGCATAAATGTTCTTCTGGCACAAGATCAAAAGGATGGGGGAAATCTGAATTTATTAATGAAAGTAATTTCTTCTTCTTTTATTCCCATCCTCAGGGTCATATGCCTCTGTACGATTAGAGAATGAACGTGAGAGTTGAGTCTCTGAAGAGAAGTGTCATATCCCACAGAGGAAGAGAAAAACGTCAGCTTAGCCTCTGAGTCAGTTAGTCTAGGAATCTCTAAGAGCAAATGAACATTAATAATACACTGTGAATGTGACTGTAGATTCCCACAGTGCTCTCTCTCTCCAGCCTGCCATGTTTTATGATCAGCATCTGGTATGTTCAACCCATATGAAGCCCCTGTTATGCCCCGTTTTCCATCTTGAAGGGGCACTAAAGTTATTTAGCATTGCACTTCCATAAGGCTGGGAGACCTATAGATTTAAAAAACTGAACGCAAAGCCCCAGTTTGTAAGGTCGGATTTATCATAAAAATGGGTGATCCTCAAGCCTGAGTTGAAATCATCCTGATGACATCACAACGACATCATCAAGATGATTTTTAGACATTGGCGAGTTCCCCCCAGGGCCAAAGAAGATATTATTGTACTGTCACAGTGTAGGCTGAAGTGTATCCAGATGTCAGGACTAGAATGATGACACAATAAACGCATGCTAGATGTCTTAAAAGATGGAAAATGATTTTATGTTTATATTTTCATCCCATATGCTATTATGTTGTGTTAAATAGAATGTCCTAACACCCTTTGGCTGTGTATTACATTTGATGTAGAATATCTCACAGGTGCTCGAGGAAACTTAAACAATCTGTTTAATACTGTACAAAATCTGTAATCCCTTTGCTAGGAATGGCAGGAATACAACTGCACATCACACTGGTTAAAGTTCTCTGCCATTTATCAAAGAAGGCGATCAGCAGCCCCCTTATCTAGGCTGCGCCTTTACATATTCTGTAAAACAGTATGGGCATTTGTATGGCCAAGGTCCATCCCTTCCGCTGGGTAATTTGCCTCATTCAGACTATTTGTCTAGATATTATTAATTCCTTTTTAGTAATGTGCAGGAACTCACCCACGTCTGTTGTTGTCACCTGTCGATGTCCTGATTTTACACCCTACTATCGCTCATTCTGACCAACCACTGGCCCACAAATTGCAGGGCAGCAGTCAGCCTTTGTCCTCAGCACTTCCCTCCACAGAGAACTTATCACTGCATATTTGAATACACTATGATACTGATAAACTCTAAAGTTGCTTAGTTAATGTCTCATTTTGCATGGGTTGCCATCGTTTCTTTTCTTTTTTTTTTTCCTTGTCTGATGTGTCCAGAGGTGTCCCACAGCTCCATGTATGCACACATGATAAGACTGAATGTATGAATGTGCATGCAAACACAACTCACTGTGGATCTTTGGTTCTTGTTACCATTGCTAACTCTGAGAGACGAGACAGTCCAAGTAACTACAAAACTGTGCTGGTTTATTCAAAGGATCACAGGTAAAATTAACATTACACGCTCAGGTATCTTGCACCTCCAAACTGCATGCAGGCAGATGTAAGATGAAAGACCCTGAACCCACCAGGCCTATACATTATATCCCCTCGGTTGGGCTAGCCCCATACTACGCTGATAAGGCACTGGGCAGTTACGTGCCTAGTGTCCTCTTTTGTGACAAATAAGACATCTGTCATCTCTCACAAAATTTCTCCTGTAACCCCTGGATCCTCGACCACGTGCTCGTGATCTGCCACGGCTCTGAAAGCCACTACTCATGGGTTGTGAGCATGACTACCTTCATAGGTTTCACCAAATTAGTCATTAATCATTAATAAGACTAACAAGTTTGAGACTGATAAGATTTTCTGAGCCTGACCTGAATACGTCCCATGCCACTGTTATACCCCAGTTCTTTTACTGGACAGATCTGAGTAAAAAAGGAGTCCGTCTTTCTTGATTTTAGTGCTGGTTTATTTACAAATATGTATATCTATATATATATATATATATATATATATATATATATATACATATATATATATATAGATATATATGTATGTATAGAAAGGATTGCAGAACACAACCTAGGGCTCCCTCTTTCAGACAAGCTGTTGGAGAAGAGAACAGGAAAAAAGCACCCGGAAACACAGAGCCTAATTTTAACTTCAACCGGTTCTTTTATCTGAAGGCCCCAAGAAGTAACACTCAGCAAACAGGAATCAGCTTTACGTAGATTTATTTTCTTCTGGTTAAATGCAGAGTTATTACAGCGCTGGGCTCTAAGAGATGACAAGTCTCCAAGAGCCTCGATAATCAAGAATCATTCACATTTATCTTCTCGGGCTGGGACTGCCCTGTACATGGGTGGTACGTTACACGTAAATATTCTAGAATGTTCATATAGGCAGTATGTGTGTGTGTGTGTGTTGTTATCTTCTATTTTCAGGCATTTCTCTCTAACTGAAAGTGGACATGCAGTTAGCTGTGTCACTTACTTCCCTGATTCTGTTGTAAAAAACCCCCTACTCATGCTTCAGACATGAGTGAATAGTTCAAGCCCGTCAGACTTCACGTCTGTAAAATAGCATAAATTAACAGTATCTTATCTATGCAATCTATTCTTGCACAATTTTCCAAGAAGATGAAAAATACTACAAGTTGACTCGAAGCTGAATATTATGACTATGATGCATGCATAAGAGCCAGG